GGTAAATGTAATGGGAAGTTAAAGTAGAGGGAGGACTATAGTTTGGTTTGGAAGAGTAGTAGATGGAGGACTTCGAATAATTTGAAAGTATAGGGAGGATAATGAATGAAAATTGAAAATAGAGGGAATATAGTTGCGATTAACCCAATTAAAAATTAAAGATATATATATATTATTTTGATTGCATAATTAAAGATAATAATTTATTATTTTTATTTTATTTCATCTATATATTATATAATTCCAAATTAAAATCTCTAAGTTTTAATGAAAAGATATAATAATTAAATTATTTAGGTCATGGTAAAATTAATGATGCTTTGTGAGGATATGCATTAGAAATTTAGAAATAGTTTTACTTTCTGCATTCTCTAAGCTCTGTAAGATACGTTGGATGCAAGAGATGGTTACGTGTATCCGGTGATGGTTAATATCATTTCCGACAATTACAGTAATGATTTCAGATCTATATGGTTAGAGGTTGAACTTTTTCGAACACATTTTATTGGAAAAGTGGATGAAAAAGTATTATATAAAAAATCAAAAAAATTATATATTATAAAAAATTGATAACTTTTATAATAAAATTTTGTTAAAATTTTATTATGTTTGGTAAAAATTGAGAGAGGGAAAGTGATTCATTGGATTTCACATTAAAGAAATTATGGGATACTTTTTTCCTTTAATGCAAATAAAAGTTTACAAATTTAAAATTGCGTCAAGATGAAATAAGGGGCAACAATATCATTTTTACCATTTATATATACTACTCTCTCAATTTATTTTTTAGTGGTATTAGTTTATTTTTTGATTTTTTTAGATATAAATTTTATATGAAAATTTAATATCTTATATAAATAATGATAAATTTTTTTTATCAAATAAAAATAATCAATAAAAACTTTATATAACAAAAAAAAAACTTTTCAGTTATTATTTATATAAATTCTTAAATTTTTATATAAATTTATATTTGAAAATCAAAAAATCAAATTAAACTTACTAAAAATAAATGGAATTAAATTAATGAGTATAATTTTAAGGTGTGTAAATATAAAAATAGCCTTACAAAATCTTGGAGAAAAATATTAATTTTTTGAAAAAATATTTCAACAAAAACTTCATATAGAAAAAAATAATAAAACTTTCAATTATTATTTATATAAGTAGTTAAATTTGCATATAAAATTTCTATTTAAAAAATAAAAAAAATTAGATTAAATCTACCAAAAATAAATAAAAAAGTATAACTTTAAGATATGTAAATATAATTAAAACACCCTTATAAAATCTTGGAGGAAAATATTAATTTTTTCAAAAAATTTATCGAACACCCCGTTACAGGCAGAACTACAAAAAAAGATATTGCATAATTTTTTGATATCAATGTTACAAATGTCTCCAAATTAAAACAATCATAATCCAAATTTCGGAACAATCAAAGAAAACAGAAAACAGACTTACAAAACCACGCCCATGCATTTTGAAAACAGCTGATGCATTGTGAAGACAATTTGGTTTCCATCCAATTTCATTTTGGCAAAAAATTCACAAAACTGGATTTGATAAATATAATTAAAGAATATCACTCTACAAACTGAATTTGAAAATTAAGTATGAATTTTTTTTCGTAGTATAAGTGAGTCAGTTATTATCATATTTTTCTATCGTGACGGTAAAAACTTGTTAAATATAATACATGAAATAACTGAAGATATGCAAGGTGAGACCCCTTCATCTATAATCCTTGATTGACCATAAGGTAGTTATTTAAGTTTTCTCCAATATCTCCTTATGTAAATAACAAGAGAATCCAATATCTCATTGAATTGCATTGAAACAATACTAACATGTTTCACTTTAGATCTCTACAACATATGACAACTTAATATAAAACAAAAAGTAATAACTATAATATGAAAAATCATGATAAATTCATTGTGGTTCACACACCTTTTGTTGTTTATAGTAAATATAATATCCATGATTGTTGGGATAACACAATAGTAGTTTGTTTATAGGCACATTATGCTTGCTTAAAATCAATTATCAATTGAAAAGAAAAAGAAAAAAAACAATTATCAACACATATACTAATGATACCTCGAGTTAAGAATTAGATTTACTAGTAAGTAAATGTTGTTTTATAGACTAGATTTGATGCGAGCACTTAACAGAAATTAATTTAAATGCCGATGGTGGGGTGTGCTCTTAAAATTGCTTGAAAAAAAGATCAATTTTAAAATATATATGCAAAGGTTAACTTGATGACACTCTAATTGTTCAAACAAAAAAAAAAGTTTTTTTTTTATTAATTCATTAGGGAATAGGGATACAAGAGTATTTTAATAGTCTAAACTACAATTTTTCATGAGCGTGAATTAAAAAAAGGACTCATAAACATATTTGTATTTAATGCATAAAACAAGCTTTTGTAACTAAATTTTTGGATTTAGCATTATCATTTAATTCTTGGGATTTAAAAATCAACTACTAATAATTTATATAAACTTGATAAATTTACTTGGTAGAGTGCTTGTGGAACTTTATTTCTTCAAGGGCAGTTGAACATAGTGATACTGACACTCACTCGCAACTAGCATTCTTCCTCCTAACTTCTTCTCACTCATTTCCAAAACATCTCCTTTCTTGGTCGCTTCGGCATAATTCAAAATACTCATATTTTCATGTTGGCTCCTGTTGTGAAAACTTGTTAAAATTAATTTTCAACAATCATCAGTACAATTATTGTCCCACCTAAATAAGAAAAAATATCTCATTTCAGTTATTTGAAGTTTCTCCAATATCTCACTTATATATATATATATACATTGAGTTAATTATACAATAAAAAATAATTTTTTTTTTATTTTTTAACGTATTCCACTCACATGTTATACGATTTTAGATTAAATGAGAATAAGTTAATATTTCCTTCATTGAATTGCATTTCGCAAACAATATTAACTTTGCTTCCACTTTAGATCTGCATAACACATGAGAAGTTAGTATATGAAATAAAAGAAAGCGACTAAGTTATGAAATATCATATTAAATCCATTGAGATTCATATATTCATTATTGCTGATAGTAAATACACAATCTATGATTATTAATTGCGATAATAAATAATACAGTACTTTATTTACAGCACATGGATGGTTAAAATCAATCATCAATGCAAGATGTCTTCATAAAAATATAATAGTCTCATTA